TGAACTTCCAGCAGCTTGCTTTCATTTGAAAGAGAGTGTTTCTGAAGCTGCTTTCTGCAGGTGTCATTGTACTGCTGGCACTGGCTCTGTAATCCAGCTGGAGACTGAGCTTGTAGCAGGGATGAGTCAGCATGGCTCCTCTGAGAACCACATTTTTCCTGCAACATCCCCTCCACACGGCCCATTAGGGCCTGGGTGCCTTGGGGTCACTGTGGGAAGCAAGATGAGAAATCACTTGCAGCATCTCTACTCTTGCAGTGTGCAGATGCTGTTAACCTGATCTCAGGCTTGCTGTGTTTGTGATGTGGTTCCAAGTTGAGTGTAAAATAATACTTGCACTATTTAGTTAAGCACAATGCTGTACAAAACAATTATGAGTGTGATGTGTGTGTACCAGGAGAAAAATAAGCTGTATAATAGCCAGAATGAATTCAGTAGCTTATGACTGTGTAAGGTAAAGATGTGGAAAGGAATACAGCTCATTTTTGCCAGTTCCAACAGTTCGTGTTGTAAAAGAGAAGGTTTTTTTTAGAAAGCTAATTTTAAAAAGTCTATAATATTTTCTTTGAGGGGCTTGGAAGTATTTCAGCGCTAATATATTCCACTGATCTCTGGTGAGAACTCACCTGGAGTACTGTGTCCAGATGTAGAATCCTCAGTACCGGAAAGGCATTGACCAATTGGAGAGCATACATAGGAGGGCCACAAAAATGATCCAAGGGATGGAACACCTCTCTTACGAGGACAGGCTGAGAGAGCTGTGGCTGTTCAGCCTGGAAAATAGAAGGCTCCAGAGAGACCTGAGAGTGGTCCTTCAGTATCTAAAGAGAAGGTATAGGAAAGAAAAGGATAGACTCTTCAGCATGATGGTCTGTTGTGACAGAACAAGAGAAAATAGTTTCAGTCTTAAAGAGGGCAGATTTTGGTTAGATATAAGGAAAAAGTCTTTTACAGTGAGGATGGTGAGGTACTGGAACAGTTGCCCAGAAATATGATGGATGCCCCGTCCCAGGAGACTGTCAAGGCAAGACTGGATCAGGCCCTGGGCAACCTGGTCTGGCTGTGCCTGTTCCTGTTCATTGCAGAGGAGTTGGACTAGACGGCCCTTAAACGTTTCTTCCAACTTTAAGAATTCTATGATTCTATGAATAACGAAGGTGGAAGAGGGAACTGGTGATTTTAAAGAAGAGCTTTGTGCTGGGAATTCCTCACAAACTCCTTTTCTGCAAATGTTAAAGCCCTGCAGCCTGGTTTTCTTGGGCATCTGGTAACCGCTTTGCATGGCACCACAGCTCAGTTGTAATTTGGGATACTGGAGATGTTCCTTTCAATCATTATTACTTGGAAAATATTTGTTGCGTATTCTTGCACAATTAGGTTGACATGATACTTTGTATTTTTTCTTAATATTTCATTTTCTAGTAAGATTTCAGATCTGCCACAGTTTTTTTCCACAAACATCTTCTTCCTGTTGCTGTCCTGTTATACTTTATCACTCTTCACTTAAAATGTGTTTAGCATATGGTTTTACGTGTGTGCAGCAAACTAATGATTACTTGAACAAATGCCCTAATGGAAGAATTGATACAGAATGCAAGAACTGGTTCATCTCTAATCCAATACTACCACGTTCCTGGGGACTGACTGTAAATTCACCTGTGTGAGAGATTCAACAGAATTTATTTCAAAGAGCAGATGGGGCCAGATCACCACAGGGCAGAAGTGGCTGCAGAGCATGAGTCTGTGCATGGTTGTGGTGCTGATGTGTGCTAATTGGGAAACCTACAGTTCTTTAGCTCTACTGAATTTGCAGCCAAATTCAGACCTGTCTGGGCATGGGGCACTGAGCTTCACGGCATGGTCTTAGGCTGCTGAAACCTGCCCTGGGGGCCACATGGGGAGACCCCAGTCCCCTGGGAGCCACTCTTCTGCCTCATTCCTGGTAGTGGCAGATTTCAGGCCAGGAGATCAGGCTTTGGGTTTGTTTTGCACCTGCCTCTTAGGTTTACAGCCCTGCCCCTGCTTGTCACCTCTGCCCAATTGCTTTTATGCGTTACTGCTCCTGCCAAGATTTCCCTGCTCGTATAGGAGAGAAGATATTACATGTTTTCTTAAAATAACTGCAGGTGAAGGTTTTAATGCACGTTGCAGGCACAGAGGGGACAAGTGGCTGCAAGTACACGTGAGAAGAACCTGTTTTCTTTGCAACTTAGTGTGCTGAAATAAAAATTGTTGACTACTTTCCCATGTCACAGTTCAGGCAGAAGGTTGGAAGTCTGAGAAGATTAGTTTAAGTGAGTTTAACTTCCTGAAATTGGATTTTTCCTGTTAACCATCTTTGATTGTGCCTGTTTGGTGGGTATAAAGCAGGAGGATAGGTTGAAAGGAAAAAGCATATAATAAGAAATGATGTGTTAACAGCTAGAAAATGGAGCTTAGAAGAAATTTTTATAAGTGCTGTGTGGAGTAACACAAGTATATTACAGCATTTTCAATTGCTGTGAAACTGCGCAGCTTTGCTCCAGCTTTCTTGTCGTCTGTGTCAATCTCAGCAGCCAGCTGATCTATCAGCTCTATCCTTCCTTGCCACTTGCCCTCAGTAATTGCACTGGGCTGGACTCTTCATGCAGTGCACTTGGTGGGATGCATTGCCTTGGCCTGTGATAAGCCAGCAGTTGTTATCTCTCACCAACCCTGTGCCGTGAAATTCTGGTGGCATGATACCAAGCAGCAGAGGAGATGGTGGCATTTCTAAGTGACAGAATTACCATATCTTCTACAACCACTATTGAGATCCTCCATAAACAGAGAAAGATGCACAGAACCAATAGACATTAACAATGCAGAGGAATTGTAAAGTATCTTCTCCAACTGGCCTCCTTTTATCCCTTCGCTTCCTCCTTCCCCTTTCCCCCTTCCCTTTTCAGTGCAGACCTTCCACTAAGAATTCAGTCTTAGGGTGAGATAATTAGCTGCAACAAAGTTCAAAGTTCAATGGAGCACTTTCTGGAGAGTTACTGAGTTTTCTTTCATAGAATCATAGAATCATAGAATCACTAAGGTTGGAAAAGACCTAAAAGATCAACCAGTCCAACCGTTCACCTATTCCCAATAGCTCCTACTAAACCATAAAACAGAGAGAAAATACAGAGAGAAAAGAAGAACATTTCTCAAGGACAGTAGACTGAAACATTAGTATGTGGAAAATACAGACTTACACAGCTACCAGAGAGCAGTAAGACGGCAAGACAACTGCTAGTAGGGGAATAACCCTGTTTTCCTCAGCAGTGCTTGTAATCACCATGTCTGAAGCCACCAACAACCAGATTTGTGTCCACCAGAACAAACTATCCTGGGACAGAGAACTTTGAAATGGAGTCATAAGTTAGATGAGCATATATCCCTTTTCCTCCATTTCCAGCTTGGAGTCTGGTAACGTCACCTGGTATTTCTGCCTGTGAGCAGCCCCAGGCTGTGTGACCTTAATGGGGACCTCGGGGGCTGGCAGTCGCTGTGAGAAGGTGTGGATGGATTGGCTCTCTCCACAGATGTGATTCACAGAAGATGGTGAAGAAGGAGCAGACATTACCCAAAGACGCACTGAAGAGCTGAAATCTGGGAAATGCTGGTTGCTTGTCAAATGAACAGAAGTAATGCCACAGTGTTCTTATTGTTTGTTTCTAACGAAAACCTCTGTTGAGATGAAATGGATTCTCACTGCTTTGTGATAGTATTTGTGGCTGCTTTGTATTTTCTGTCAGACATGCAGAATATCAGAAGTACATTTTCACAACTGAGAATCATTAGGTCTTGACGGAACTAGTTTGCTTAAGGACAGTAAGGGCAGGTAACTGTCATTGTGATGGGCAGCTGATTGTCTTCTCACTGGAAGAAATACAGTTTAGTCATCTCAAAGGGAGAAAATTACAGCATTGGATTTTCTTTCTTTCTAAAAGGCTCAAGTGAAACCCTGTGGGTGGTGGGAGCATCGCAGCGCCTGTCACACCCTGTGCTGCCTCTCCCCTCCTCTCTGGCCTCAGCATGACAGAAAACATCTCACTGGAAAGATCACTGTATTTGGACTTTTGTTACAGCGATTCAGCAATCTATTTGTTGCTATCTTCTAAAATGCCCTTCCTACACCATGATTTAAAGTACTGTGCTTTTTGCCTGGGTACCAGAATTGCTATTTTTTTCTGCAAAGCAAAGGTTTCCCAAGCCAGATTAGGCCAACAAAGCACTGCTTTATCTGCATGCTTTGGTAAAAGACTGTATGCTGAACAACTTACTGAGGGAGACAGCTTCTTCCAGAGGCTGGGTGCTGTGCTCTGAGGAGGTCAGCATTACTGGGTGGAATAGGCTGCTCTCCTGCAGTGTACACTGTCTTTAATGTGGCTTTACTTTGCTGATGAGGGGACCTAATGATTTAATATAACCTTCCACCACACAAAGCTAATCAAAATGAGGTCAGAAGACAAAATTAGTCTTCTCATGTTACTGAGAAGGAACAAAAATATCACTGACTTGCATGACACATGACCAAGCACTACACAGAAAGACCTGTCAGTGTTTTCCTTTTTGCAGAAAAAAAAAAAAAAAAAAAAAAAAAAAAAAGGCAACTTTGAGCACATATAATTATTTTCTAAATCACCTTAGGACACGTCTTTATTTTAAGAAAGGTAATTTTAAGAAGCTCAGTGATGTCGAGGTGAGAGGTATTACTAGAAGTGCTGCAGCCAAGTGGGCGAAACAACAGCTTCTCTTTCAGCTCCCAGATAAAGCAATCATCTGGGCTCACACATTTATAGCATACCACATGTGCAGGAGCCTGGCACTTTGCAGAGAAGGAAGATGTAACTTGGGTGCTTGAACAGGCCTGGTGCCTGCTGTAGGATCAGCCCAGCACTGATCCATCCATTTTATCCACCTTGTGATAAAGGCAGTCTAAGGATTGCAAAAGCACTGCTTTGTGGCCTGTCTGAGCTAATGAAGGTGAACTCTCCAAGGCCCAGCCTTCTTCACCAGCTGAAGTTTTAATGGTCTTGCTTAGTACAGAAGCAACCAATATGAGCATCAGCTGTGGGGTAAATTTGTGGTCCCTGAAATAGCCTGCTTCTACCTCCTGAGAGTACTTGTGTTGTGCTGCCCAAGTAACCTTCAGCTGCTGCACAGGTAATTATTTTTTTTTTTTTGTCTGTTTTACAATTGCTATTTAATGTAAATACAAACATTGAAGCAAGTTGTTGATTATCTCTGCAGTACAATTTTTTTTCTTGTCAGTGTGAAAAAACCTTGCAACAGCAGAGTCCTGCTGAGGGAAGGTGTTGCAAAGTAGTAATTAATTAGTCTAATTGAAACAAGGTTGGATTTAATGGCTCATGGAGGGGTTGGTGGAAGGTGGAGCTGTTATCACTAATGGTAAGCTGGTCGGCACATTTGGGGGTACCTTGTGGTCAGCTAGGTAACCAAAGTGTGGGCTGCTTGTTTTTAGCACCCTACAAGTCCTTAGGTCTATGGGAATCAAGAAGTCTATGGGCTTTTTTAGAATGTTTTAACAAAGCTATAAGGAATATTGGGGATTTACTAAACCATGAGTTAGTCTCCATTTTACCCCAGTGGAAGATAAGGGAGTGGCTGGATTTAGTTCTGGAGCATTCCTTTGTTGAGATGTTATGTGACTCTTGATGTTTCTTTTCTTTAGGATCTCAGAGCTTGGATTCTGTCCTTGGAGTGTTAAAGCTCGTAAGTCTGTGTGTGCATGCAGACAGCTATGTATTTTTAGCCTTGTTTTTGTACCTGAAACTTACTGTCAGTGTGCACGACATGTCCATAGTTTTTTAATCACTTGAAAATCTTCTGATAGGTCTTCTGTTTCAGCAGTACAATGAGTATGGAATGTGATATTTGTCTTCAAAGCATCAAAAAATATCCCGTTATTCTGAGCTGGACATCTCATCAAATGGTAAGGTTATTCACTTATTTATTTTGCTTCCTAAGAGTTGATTGTTTCCTGTGGTAGAAACAGTTACTGAGTTTTGTGTTTTGCCTCTTTAGAAATGATACAAACTAAAACATTATGGAGATTGCTTTTCTGGAGAGTAAGCAGGACACAGAATGGAAGAAAACAAGTGAAAGAAACATTAGAAGTTATTGGCTCACTTGTGAGCACAAAAGTAGATGGAGCACTTCAGCCAAAATGACAGCATTTTGGTCTGCTAGGGTGAGAATTGCGCCAGTGCCTGGATCCACACATGTTCTGTGCTGGCTTCAGCTGGTTGCTGCAGGCATATAATTGAAGAGTATGTGCGTAAGCACAACAGAAGAACACGTGTTAAAGCTCTTGTTTCTGTTTGTTTCACCTTTCCTAGTTCAGGACCTCATGCAAGTGGCAGCTGTACAAGTCTTGACAAAAACTTTGATGCAGACTCAGCCTTTAAATCATTCATGCTTTCTACAAGGTGGGACTGGCAACCACCCAACCCTTTTTGGGGTCGTGTCAATGTGTTTGTATGCTGCACAGTAGAACAAATCTCAGCAGGACTGCATAGGCATTACTGCAATGCAAATACTGAATTGTAATTACACTAACAAGCATAAAAATGCAATTGATGCTCTTTCACTGGAAATTGGAGCTCAGTGGGGCCTGTCCTCTGCATGCACATCATGCAACTGCGATAGCAGGACCAATCTTTCTGTAAAAAGAGGAGGGAAAATGAATATTTAAAGATTGTTTTAGTTAAGCTGGTGCTGCTGTGGACTCTGTTCTTTCTCTTCTTTTTTGAAATGCAAATTTCTACAAAGCAGAGAAATCAAGAGATGAATCAATGGGTTTCTCTGGGGTAGGGGGAAACTTAAACTTGTTTTTTTGAATCTGTGTTCTCTTTAAGAATTTTTCGGTGGGAAGACAGGTATTCTTTTGGGAGGAAGGTTGTACAGAAAAGTACATATATCTGGAAGCAAATAAGTTGAACTACTGCGTTCTCAGCTGTAAGCAGCTAAAGAGAAGCCCAAACTTGGGGCAGGGAACACATGGATGGTTCACTGTGAAAGGCAGCATTTTGGAAATGCTTATTCTATTCATCTCAAACAAGATTTGTGCACGCTTCTTCTGTTTCTGGCTGTATTACACTTATGTGGTTCACCTGGCCTGGCTCTTCCTGAGGTTAGTAAACTTGCTGCATGGTAACTGTTGGGCTGTGGCCTGAACCACAGATTGAGCTCCTGAGGAAAGGACCCAGTCAGCCTTGGGAGCACAGGTGAAGGCAATTCAGCTGTGTGACTGGAAGGAGTGGAGCCTGGCTGCACTTCTCTTAGACCTCATTTAAGGGCTGACTGCCACTAGGGAAGGGTCTCTGGTTGGAGATCCCTCCCTTGTGGAGTTTTTCCCTGTGAGCCTAGATCTTCAGGTAAGCACTCTTCCTTTGTAACTTCTTTCTGTTCATGCTGGTCCTTTTGTTGTTGCACCTCCTGTATCGCCATTCCACTGCATTGATCTTTCTGATTGTTACATGCTGCTTCTATTTTGATGTATACAAATATTTACTGTAGCTAAAAGGGAAAGTCAGATGATGTCTGAAGTGAAGAGGGATGTTTGCTGAATTCTTTGACTTGTCTTTTGTAATCCTAAAAAGAAATACATAAGAAAACCCAGTCTTTTTTTTCTTCCTGTCTAATTATTTACCCTTATCAGTGAATGCTGTTTAAAACATCATGACGTCTGCTCTTACCTATAACTTTGTATCAAAAAGGATGAAGTCTATCTCTTGTCGTTCCAGAGATGTCAGGAGACATCCATAAAACTATATAAAATATAACAGTTGTACTAATTTGTACTAAGCTAATAAATGTTTAAACTATTCCATAACTTTCAGTTATGTGATAGCTAGAGAGACTCCAATTTGTCATAATTTGTCTATTTCATACAAAAAACAAAAATAATACATACTATGTACAAACAATACATAGTAAACAAGGTAAAAATGGTGGTTAGAAGGACTGATTTTTTGTCAACGTCTTGGATTAGCGTTGCATAGAGTATGTTGATAGTGGATAGGGATTCATTAATTGCTAATTATGCCTCGAGACTGTTTTGAAAAGAGATTATTTGTTCATGGAGGAATTGGCCATGCTGAATTTGTTTTGGGGAGAGGTTGTGTTTCCTGATGTTTAGAACCAGTAGCAAACTCTTCTGAAGTTGTCTTCCTATTCAAGGTCAGCCTGATGTAATGTGATACATTCCCTAGAGTGGTTAACAGTAATACTGGAAAGCAAATGTGTAAGCTGTTGAGAGATATGTAGCTTTGGGTATTGTAGCCAGCACTAGAATTTTGTTCTTCAAACTGTTGTGGATTAGAGGGAATATAATGAACTGTCTTAGCAGCTCAGGAGAACACCTTATTTAAACAACACCCTAAATGTTATTACAGCAAGTACATGCCGAACTGGATTCAAACCTTTTCCCCAAAGGGGGAAGAAAGGTGGGGGAATTAGAAGGTCATTTTTTTTAGTGTACGTATAGATCGTGAGTATTGTTTGTCTATTGCAAGCTAGAACATGTTGTTTTGCTAGAACATAAAGCAGAATCATAAAACTGGGGTGCTGTGAAAGTCTTGTGACCTTGGTAAGGTTATATTCTTCTAAAGCATGGCTCTGTTTTTTAAAAAAAAAAAAAAAGACATTCAGGTCTCATAAGATAATCCAAAATGTTATTCACAGCATCTAGAAGAAACACTTAAGCTGATATCTGGAGTATCCATCCATCTGCTGGGTGTACAGGCACAGTAAGTGGGGGTGAGGCGCTGAGGTGTCTCTGTTGGTCTTAGCTGCAGTCATCCACCCACTTGGCCACTGGGAAGGACACTTCTGCCTCTGGATTTAGAGGAGTCTTTGTCTCTTCTTTGCAAAGAGGCAGAGCACTGAAGCCTTTCCCCTGGTTGTTCTGTGGTTTTCATCCTGCTGCTTCTACCAGACAGAAGGATTTTCTGAGACACTGAACAGCATTGCAGTGCCCTCCTTCCTCAGTTTCTGATTTCTTACTACACCTTTTCTCCCCTAATGATAAGGTCCATTTATATGAAAGCATGCCCTGTGCATAGCAATGCAGAAACTGGAGGAAGAGCCTCCTCTGATATGTGGGTAACTAATTCTGATAAAATCAGTATTCTTTTTCTGTTGTTAAAACTTGTGATTAAGGATTTCATTCCAAATCTCTTTGGGCAATTTGCTTCATTCAGCCTATTGCCCAGGGCCTCCAGGCACACACCAGTGGCCAATTTGTAGTCTATGCCAATTAGCACACTGAAGTTTATCCCATTAGAGATGCAGCCTGTCACCAGAGGAAGACAATGCCTCTACAATTCTATTTAATGGTGATACAAAAAGAACACAGGGTACTGCTTTGCCTTCCTCTGGGTTAATCTGCCATCCATCACTTGTCTTTAATTTATCTGGGTGATTGCTATACATCTTAGTGCTGAGACCAACTAAGATCCAAGCTTCTCAAAGATACATTTTGGAAAGAGAGAAGATAATAACAGGAATTAGTTTTGGGAAATAGGTAAAATAGGGAAAGGCAACTATTGTCATAAAAACAAAGAGAATTAGGACTGAAATTTAAACTAGGAGTGTGTGGTTTTGGCTGCATAGGTTGTAGGTTCTCATGGCTACAACCATTTTGCTGCTGCTCTACTGCTTGTGGCTGCCAGATGCATGTGTTAAATCTGAGTTTTGCAGCTCTTCACCTCTGGAGGTGATAATAGTAAGTATTAATCTCATATCTAGGTATAGGGAAATTTAGTGATGGCTGAGCTTTTAACAAATATCTAGGTTACTGAAGATTTGAGGATAGGTTTTATTTTGCATATTCTTCTTTAGGAAACTTGGTGCCTTCATGCTACAGACAGTATTTTTGTTGGGTTTTGGTTCAAGGGTGCTCCTTTGAGTAAAATAACTCTTGTTCTTTGCCTTGAACAGCCTAGAAAAAAAAAAAAAAACTTTTCCCAAAATTTAATTTCTCCCTTCACATGCACAGAGCATGTGGAAACACTGCCCTGGAGAGCTGAAAGCATAATGGAGTTGCATTCTGAAGAGATGTAAATGCTGTTCTAGCACTGTGCGCTACCCTGACTGTAATAACATAGCTGGTTTAAAAACGAGCAAAAAAGAACTTGTGTTTAACAGCCATTGACGTAAGGTATAACTGAATGTTTAATGCCACTGTGAAGGTTCTACAAGACTAACTTAGTTGTGTCCTCAGTTATCTTAAGATAACTAAAATATACAACTGTTTTTAAAATATGAGCAAGTATTTTGATTTGTGAGGGTTTTCAATTATTTTAAATCAGTTATAGAGTGTCTGCAACTAGTTTAATAGCAGTTACTTCTGTGACTTTCTGCTATTAGGTAGAAGTAAAATTCACTTTTCTTTTTTTGCCAGAACTTCACAATGCTTTTAGCTTCCTCTTCAGACTTCAGTAACAGTTCAAAAGTCTGTGGACTTTCTTGTAGCAGTTGTGCAATGCTGGTAATAAAAGTTATGTTAAGTCTTAGTTTGAGTATTCAGGGAGGAGCACCTAGAAAGGTATAATTGGTAAGTCTGCAGTAATGTCCTGAACCAACTCTTACATTTGGTACATCTCATTCATTTGCCATGATTCTTGCCTTGTGTGATACAGGACCTTCTCCAGTGATGTGCCAGCTCAGCTTTGTGGAGAACAATGTCTTTAGGGTTGAATTCTGGTTCAACTTAGAGCTCATCCATACTTTTAAGGCCTGTCTGGTGCTTTGGTCACAACACTAGAACTCAATTGCAAAGAAGTTTTGTGTGTAAACATGAATTTCCTTGGCTGTTTGAGATGTTTTGATTCAAAACCACTGAGTCATCTTAATACCTTTGTAACAATTTTTTTTTTTTTTTTTTTTTTTTTCCCCCCCGCTCTTC